GTGATATGTCCATTCTATTTTTTCCTCTTTCTGATAAAATAGAAAATGATTGTTCATTTTCTTATACCTAAAGCTCACTAGAATTGATTGATTATAGTTGATTGAACAATATCTCATTATTCTTACCACCCGAAAAATCGGGAGTTTACCGCGTTCCACTAAATAAGAAACGATATCACAAACCTTCATGTATGCTCTCTCTCTGGTGAGCACTGCCCTATAAATTACAAAAAAAATCGACGAATACGATATTTAAGATTGTTTCGAAATACAACACATCCTTAGCTCTATCCTAGACGATTGATATGGTAATTACTTCATTTGCTCGACGTCTAGAGAATTCCTTAAGTCAATTCTATTTTCCACAATTCCATCATCCACACCACTTGTAAAGGTAAGAACACAGACATTTGGATAAATTTGATATTAATGATTTAAGCACTTCGACATACCGAGAGTACGAGTTTCAATTCCTTCAAAGCAGGTATTCCATTGCTTCATAAACTGACTTATCCTTTCATTTTTTCATTTTTTAGTTATGTTTTTTTTATGTTGTTGCATAATCTTTACTAGATAAATAATTATACATCCAAGCCTGAACTGCATCCATCCTTTGGTAATTTTCTAAAATATATTGTCCTACCCAGCAACATTTCCTACTATATTGTTTTCTGTATTTAGATTCAAAGATAAAATATAACTTAACATTGAGTTTGAGTTTTCTACATACAATATGAAGATGCTTTTCCCTCAGCATATTAAGTCGTTTTATTTATTCTATTGATTGGAGTTGAACTATTCCAATCTTAGGTTAACTCCACAATCAAAAATTAGCGTCCATTATATAGGGTGTTTAATAAATATTGGTCCATCCTAAACTGGAGATAATAGACTCTAAAATAATATGTTGAGCTGAGAGAAATATTTTCTAATGAATAATAAAAATGAAGGAATGAAGGAATTTGAAACTTATTTCGATTTTGCTCCTAGAAAAGAGTTTGACTCTATTATTTAGAAAAATCCTATCATGAAAATCTGCAAGAATATTTAATTTTTCCTAGAAAATATACTCTCGTTTAGGCCGTTAGCTTTTGACTTATTTGTATATAAAAAGTTCAAGGTCCAAACAGCAGGGAATAATAGAGAAGTTTTGTTTAACATCGAAAGAGATTTAAGAGAGTGTATTATAAGATGTATTGATAGTATGATGGTGACTAATTCCAACGACTGATTTGATTTTTTTCCTTTTCATCTTTTAAGTATTACTATTTACAAAACTTCTGAATTCCTCCTGCGTCAACAACAAGCTTTTAAGTATCATTTATAAAAATCAGAAAAAATATCTCAAACTTCTAAATGCAAATGTCCGACAAAGCAAGACGACCTAAACAAGATAACGAAAAATGTTATATTCTTTCAGAATTTTGTTGTGTTTTAACAGTAACTCTACAGGTAAAAAATATGATTCTATTCATCTAAACGATACGGTGAAATTAGCTTCAAATTCGTAATTGTCATGTCAAATTGACCAAAATCGCCAGCTTTTACTATTATTATTAAAATTCAAAATAAAATTTAACTTATTGTTATCATAATATTTTGGTGTCTGGTATCTCCAGTTTAGAGATTACCCATTCTATGTGAATCACTTTCTATATACATACATCTATATACATACCTATTTCATCATACATACATACATACCTATATCATCTTTTTATATTTTCACAGTTACTAGCCATTTGTTTATATTGAGTTGTTAAAGTTCCGAAAATAGGCACTTTCGAATGCGAGGCCTCCTTCATAGCCTATTTTGTAGGGGGGTACTTTTGGGCGGGCTTTACGCAATTAGAGAGATTAAATTTAATTAATACGAAACATTTTCAAATATTTGCGGATACTTTTGCAAGAAAATCCGGGCACGTAAAGCGATCAAAGGAGCACTTTCAGAAAAAGAGCCAGAAAGACGATTGCCGTCGCCTAGACTTCCAGTCTCTTTGAAACCCGGTGCGGTGCCGCGTGGATGCTACGCAACTTATATAAATTTCATCGTCGGTAAAAATCCCGCCATAGACGCCGTTCGCCGAATTAAATAAACTCCGACTAACAAGCGGATCCTTGCCGTAAAAGTAATTGAAAAGAGCCGGGGCTATTAATAACGAAAACAATTTTTCACTCTTAACGGTAGGGGCGATCTGGAATTATTTTTTTCGACTCTTGATTAATTGCCCGAAGAGGCATTTTGTATTTCATTAATTTGCGGATGAGCCAAAATTATGCTTTTATTCCGGGACCTTCCGGTTGCCTCGTGAAAGGAAATTTGTAATTCACGGGATCATTGAGCTTGTTTTCTAAAGCAATGCGATCTCGGAAAAAAAGGTGTCCGCAACCTTTATGTAAATGTGTCATCTTATTTCAGGGTCTTTCGGTTAAAGGTATAAAAACCACAGGCGTCTTAAAGATACCGGATAGGTCATTAAGTTAATACCCACATATTTTTGAAAAATGATTGGAAAGGGTGGTTTACATCTTAATTAAAATTTTTATTGAATTTTTTACAATATTAATTTTTTTGGAAAGACTATGATAATATAATTAAAATGTTATAACTATGTTGGAATACCATTCATAATATAAGCTTTAAGCGGAAACACGAGGAACTAAAAAATAACACACGCCTATGAAACACTCCTTGATGTGCAAACTTCACAGTATTGCAGCATTTTTGTTATCAGATAGCATCGATGTCCACAAATAGCTTTTCGCTTTCGAAAATTCGGTTTTCTCACAAAAAATAAGCAAATGTAGAAGCACTACACAAGCAGAGTTATTTATTATTTTATGTGGTTAGCTTCAATGAAAAATTAACAAGACATTTTATTAACGAATATTAAATTAATTTTCTAATATTTTAATATGCTTGGGGACCCTCAGGACTTCTTAGTCATCTCTACTTCTTCCTTCTTCAGTTTCAGTTAAACTCTGAAGAAGCCAACAGGATGATTGACGAATTGTCAGCAAATTCTATTCATCAACAATCGACGCAGGAGAAATGCAAAAGATTTTTTTTTCTCAATATATTTTTTTATTTCGCTATGCATGGTCCTAGATCCTATTTTTTTATTTCGAAACGGTAAGTAACTATGAAAAAATTGCAGGAGACAAAAGAGTTTCTAAATAAAACGCATATTTAAAAAAAAATGTTATGTCAAGTTTTCCTTAAATTTAATTAAGAAGAATGCCTCCAGCATTCTTCAATTTAATCCCCCCTCCACCCACTTTATAAAATAAAAAATGTGCAGAAAGTGTGTTTTACAATAGTAATACCATTTTATTGCTCCAGCTATTTTCGTTTCTAATATAAAAAAATAAAACTATATTTTCGAGATATTTGTAGCGCGACGTTTATATAACAGAATACCCTTCAGGTTTTCGCATTTGTTTTGAAACACCCTGTATATGTTACGAACGAGTGGTCTTTCAAGGGTAAAGTACTCGGTTTTAGAAAACTCTTAGATTTATTGACTTTTCGACTCCACAACAATACTCGCAGATGTATAACCTACCGGTCATACCCGCACTTTAAGAGAGAGCAATATAGGAGCCGGCAGGCCAAAGGACGAGCCGACCATGCACAGGCGACCTGGGAGTCAATTGCCTCAGCACAGGAGAGATGGGTTGGAAGTCGGGAGGTAGAAGACAAGCCAGCTATAAGAGACGGGAGTCTAAGGACAAGCTATCAGCTAAGTCAGACCAGGAGTACTCTTCACTCGAGATGGTTTGAATGAAATAAACTGCTATCCGTTATATTGGATTATTATTACAATAGTTGCAACCAGTACTATAGAAATGTCCCGAGTATTGTTTTTATTATTTTATATTTTGTAAACTATGTGGGTATTAATTCTTTAATTCTGTAATATCCACATAGTTTACAAAATATAAAATCATAAAAACAATGCTCGAGGCATTGTCTGTACTGGTACCAACGCTACCCTTCAACCTGCATTGGGTCAGTCTTGCTCTGATAGATAAATATTGCCAACTCCATAAAGTACGCCGAATATTTTCAAACAGGGTTAATCATAACTAGTGCAGATTACTTTGTAAATCAAGAAGCATATTTGATTGAAAATTGAAAACAGTCGGTGGTATGTGATGGAGGTCTTAAACTTTTATTCTTGGCCCCGCGGTATTTTTATCACTACCAATCAATCAATATCTCTACGTTTGTATAAGCAGATATAAAATTCTTCAATAGAAATACTAGAATTTGAGTTATAAGCGGAATTTGATTAGTGGAAGTAGTGTGGCAATTTCAATTAAGAAAAAATGAACGTGGCCCCGCCATCGGCTTGAACAACTAAAATGTGATTTTTGATTTCTGCAAAAGATGAGTTTGAATATCAAAGACTTTAAAAAACGAAAATCAGAAAGTTCAATTTTTTTCTCAATTTAATGGAATTACTAAAATGTTGTAATTCAGAAGAAAAACAAAATAAAATTAAAAAAAATAAATGAACAACTCTGTGTGTGCAACAGAGTACAGAAACATTGATGAATAGAAATAGGTAAAATATCATCTTAAGTTTTTCAAAATTGCTTTTTGTACCCCGTTTAATTAAACGAATACGAATGTATTTTGAGGTACTTCAAATATATAATACAAATATTTGAGGCGACTCGTCTTACGGGATTGCCAATCTGAAATTATAAAATAATTATAATTCATTAATAAATACTTACGAAAACATAGATATGTATTTGTTTTTCCTAAAGCAACTCAAAATAATTTAAAATTATACGGCGAAGTCGTCAACGTTTCGCCATTTGAAACGACTTGCTATATTAGCAAATATCATGGGCAGAAAAACATGTTTACCGTGCGTTCATTGGTGCCAAGGATTTTAATTTTATTGGACGGGATACAACAACCTGAATTTCTCGTATATTTCACATGAAACACTCCCGCTGTTTACGAGATGGTTTCGGGCAATAAACCAGCGACGACATTGGTTCGAAATTAAAAAACAAAAATTACATAACAGGCTTTATCAGAACAATTATTCTTTCATAAAGCATTCCAAAAAATGCTCGCACAGCAAATTCCGTTGTAAGCTTTGAAAGGGCTTTCAGAAAGACGCGAAACGACCAAAGTTTGAAAATCCGCCTGAATTATTATTAACGGAAAACACGAATTATGGCCCCTATTAATTATTTTCACAGAAGTGGTAAGTTTTTCAATTAAATTTGTCTAGTTTCAATTAAACTTTGTTTTCTACATGAGCCACATAATTGCTTCAATTTTTTTTATTATTATCCTATAGACGAAAACATTGTCTTCGACTGAAAAATGTGTGACAAAGACGTTTGCATTTGTTTTTTAAATTAACCGTCATACAACAACAAACAACCGTCATATCCTACGACCTAAAATTGAGGTAAAATATCTTATAAACTGGGATGCACAATGTTTTCGTTAATACAAGATCTTAAAGGTGAAAAAGGTTTTAATAAACATTTTGGAAATCTGCGATAGTGTGACAAATGTCACTTTAGTCACAAGTTTTAATAAAGGAGTATCTCAAGAAGTTTATCAAAGTGTTCCGTATTATAATTTTTTCATTAGTTTCAAGTAATCGAAGAGTAAAAGACAGTAGTTAACTGACGCTTTACAGTGGCATTTTCCTCACTTTCGATAAGTGCACAATTAAATAAAATTTCTTATTCTTTATTGAGTACACTGAAATGTGAATAAAGGGAGGGGATTGGGAAAATTTACCCCAATGTTATAGTTGTCGAATTCTAGTAATTTTGACTATAAACATATTTTTCAGAACCTAGGATGTTCGAAAAAAACATTTTCATAAGAAACTTTTCTTTTTATTGCAATGTGCAGATGTGCAACTAATTGGAATGCCGGGAAGGAAATGACACTTTACTGTTTATAGTCAAAATTACTGTAAATCAACAACTAGAAACTTGCTTCGTTTAGTAGCTGTACTAAATCGTAATGATTTTTAATGATTTTTACAGGTTTCTATTAAAAGCAATTTTAGCAGGCTAAACTTCAGTTTATAATTATTTTGTATACTTATTTTAGGGAGTAGAATACAAGTTTGAAATTTTTCCCCTGCGCTGATATATGATGAGTCGAATTTAATTTTTTTGAACACCTCCTTACAAAAATATTTCTAAGATTGAAATCCAAATACTAGAAAAAATATCATAGAACCTTGTAGCAAAGGAATTACACAGGGATCCAACAAATGTTCGAGTCACTCTGTGGTGTCAATTTCTCAATGGTTAGATCAAACGTAATTTAAGGTCTTTAATTGTGAATGTGAATGTTGTATCTTGATAGAAACCCTTTCACTTGCACCTACACATGTTTTCTAAAATTTAGTTCGTTTGATAAAATGATGTTAGGGTAAATTTTCCATTGGTAATGGTACCTCATTTTTTGTTTTCTCATTTCTTAGTTTTTCTTTATCGATACTACGTTATACTTCTCATTGATTTCGGTCTTTACTAATTACTTAATTGCTGCCAGCTGGCGCCTTAAAAGGAAATAACTTGGTCCACTCAACGCAAAGCATTTTAAAACAACGAACAATGTAAATTTTTATTCGAATTGGGCCGTCGAATCCGCGTATACAACTCCCTGGTGACAGACTCTCACGCTTGGTATTTCCTGCAGGTCTCCGGCATACTTTAAAGAATCCCAAAAGTTACATAAAAGAAAATTTATGTACAGCGGGCGTCTCTTGTTTTTTCGTCGAATAAAATGTCCGAATTTGTTCCCATAAAAGATGCGGAAGCCCTCAGAGTGATGATTAATACCCTTCCTGAGGTAAGCTTGCTTTATATCCCTTTCTCTTCGGCAGTTGATCTAATTTTAATTTGTTTGTACGTTATTAGGAAATGCGTAGCATGTTTGCAAATTTGAGGAAACATCGAAAGTTTCTCGCGCAACTATCTTTCCCTCCTATTTGTAATGAAATATTTCGTAAATAGCAGTAAAATAGAGTTTTGGAAATCACCAAATTGGCTAAATGTATTTATTTTTTTATCATTTGTTTTAGTATTATTTATGAAGAATGATTTTACCGAAAATGAAGGAATTTTGAGATAAATACAGTGTGTTCAAGATAAGGATGTCTATCATGGGGAAATTGGAAACGAATATGGTTACATTAGAAAAAAGTTGCTAAAATTTAAAATTTAATAACGTGCTTAACGTAGTTATAGAATTAGATTTAACATTGTAGCATATCGAACTTCTCATATGAAAAAAAAAAAGAACCAACAGCAAAATGACGCACAACAACGTTAAAAAACGGCATGTACTAATATCTCAATAAAATCATTCTGACATATTCTCAACGCCATCATATCATTCTCTACTACACCTATACATTGAAAAATTAATAAAAACCCTTTTTTGTGTTTTAAACTATGTACAATCATGCCGTGTCATATATCTCTGTATCCATAATAAAAAATGCAACTTAATACACGGTGTATCTTTTTCACAGACCCTATGAAAAATAGAATTGATGATGATTTCGCCGAAACGTAACATCCTACTGATTGCTATCTTGTAGAGCGCGGAAAAATGGCAATGAGAATTGACCAATATTTTTTTATATTTCTTTACATAACACTAGCCAAAACTAACCAAATCTGGGAATTTGTTTTTTTTTGGCGAAGTGATGGCAATTTTTTAGTTTTCTCAACAGCATTAACTTTTAAAAAAAGTTTTTATGGTTTCCAGCATCCTCATGATAGACATGTTTATCTTGAATTGACTGTATTTGTTCAAAATCACCACAGAATATAATTTTGACTATATTATGGATTTGAAGTAAAGTAAAATGTTTATTTTATATGAATTATCTATAAGAAAAAATATGTAAGACGGAATAGACGAAAATATTATAAGTGTTGATTTTCGAAAACATTTTTAAGTCGTTTTCTACATCTAGCGACCTCTTTATGGCATCAACACGACGTCCAACTACAAGAGAGAGGTTATTCATCAAATTGGTGTTGTTGTGATGCAAATAGAGGCAGAGCAAGAGACTAGTGAGAGCGCAATTGTCTAAATGTGAATGGCTACTATGCAACGTAAACTGGGGAGGAAATAATTTCCGAGCGAGCAATCATAAGCGTGTGAGATGTAAAAAAATTAAAATGTTCAAAATTACTTTATAAACAGTTAAACACTGCCTACTGCCTTCTGTAGCAAGCAACAATGTAAACCTAATTATACACCGACCTAGCCTGCGCAAAGTGTCATTTTACGACGTCAGTTTCATTTCCCACGGATCCAAGCTACTTCAGACACTTTCGGGATATTACCGCTCAGGTTTGGGAGCAATCGAATGTTTTCGACGATATTACGGTATGACGTGAATTTTGACGTACGTGAATTCTAACGGCCGTGTCAATGAATGCATTCGTGTTATTTTCCAGAAATGTACCCAAAAACTCACGGCCGTAGCAAAAGTATAATATGCAATATGTTAGGCAACTGTTTGGCACTCTGCTTGTGCCAAATAAACTCTTCCAACGGATCAGAGCCATTTCGGACATTTCCAGAATATTACCGCAAGGGTTTGGAAGCAATTGAATGTTTTCGAAGATATTACGGCACGTCTTGAAGTTTGTCAATTCTGACGGTCATGTCAGTGTTGTTTTGCAGAAATGTACTCACGGTCGTAGAACAAGTGCGGTAAACGGCATTTGATTCATGAGTTTACTTTATTGACACGATCGGAGCACAGTGTTTTATAAACGAGTGACTTAAAAAATTATACCGAACCTGTTGCATACTATACTTTTTCTACGACGATTAGTTTTTTGGTATATTTTCCCAAAACAATACGAATACATTCATTGACATGACCGTCAGAATTGACAAACGTCAAAATTCAAGGCGTGGAAAATATCTCCGAAAACATCCGATTGCTCCCAAACCCGTGCGGTAAAATCCCGGAAATGTCCGAAGTGGCTCGGATTCGTGGGAACGAAACTGACGTGGTAAAGCGATGCTTCCCGCACGCTAGATCGGTGCGTAATTAGGTATTTTACAGACGGGAGTAGAAAAACTTTTTAACTCACTCGTTTATTAAACACTGGCTTCACTGAGGTCCGCTCGTGCCAAATAAATTGTTGTATGATATACTATTGACACACTTTTAAAGATAACGCAAACCAATTAATATCTTTGAGCTTTTCTGGAAAATCTGCAATACTAAGCACAAATACGGGCGCTGATACATGGGACTCTGTTGAAGTGGAATCGACAAGTTATCCCTATACCTCATTTGAAGATTTTGAACATTACAACGAAATACCAATCTTTCTCTGAGTGAATCGTTTTTAATAATTTCATATAAAAACGTGCAAAAATGTCGTCCACGTCTAAATTTCATGCTAAATTTTGGATTCTTGATATTCTTTTTTTGCTGACCACACCAAGAGAGAAACCGGAAACATAATCATTTTAGAAATACCAAGGGACTGACCAGCCTTCATTACCTTTATTTTTCGTTTACACAATATTTCGAGCAGTTGTTTAACTGCCCTTTGTCAAGTGCGGACTAATTTTAATTCTAACAAAGAACCGCATTAGAAAAAGCGCAGGTTTGATCAACCTGTATTCATTAAAAACAATGGAAACATCTTTATCAATCCAAGCGTGGACTCCGTCACGGGTGGGCGCTGTAGTAGTGTAGTACATAAGCTTCGTAGCCTTAGAATTAAAAATAGTCTGCACTTGCTAACGGGTAGTGAAACGTCTGCCCGAAACGTCGGGTAAACAAATAAAGACAATGGAAGTTTGACAAACTCTTAATATTTCTTCTGAATCATTGTCTATCACCACAGAAAATAATCATTTTAGTTCAGATGTGACATTACTGAGGTTTCGCTCAACGTTTTCCTTAGTTTTAAATTTTAAATATGTTGGTTGTTGCAAAACATTTTTAGAGAGAAGAAAATTTCTTTGGAATATAAGTTTTAGATGTTGCTTAAACCTAAGATTACTATCGATTATTGTCCCCAAGTATTTTGTTTCATTAACTAAACCATTTTCAGTATTGCCGATAGAGATTTCAACATTTCTTTTAAGAAAATACACTTTCTTCTTGCTTCCAAAAATCATAAAATGAGTATTCTCAAGATTACGTTCAAAATTGGTTTTTCAGAAAGATCACTTAGTATTTGTAAGTCCTTATTAATAAGTTTAATAGTCTTCGAATTTAAGTATTTCGAAATAAGTACGTGAGGGTCCTAAGATGAATCCTTATGAAACATCAGATGTAATACGTACTTGATCAACCAAATTATTATTACACTGTTTATCAATTATCAAAACCATTATAATTTAGTTTAGATAACAAAAATAATAATTCGAATAACCAAACAAAATAAGGATGGGTTTATCTTCTTATCAGAAGCACGCGAAATGTCACATTCATAAGCGCAACATGTCCCAAAATTCTTTCGAAACCCGCATTGATTTTTCATATAATTAAATTATTAATGAAACTGATGAAATATTTAATTATATAAAAATATTTAAAATATTTTAGATAAAGCCGGTATACTGATAACGCGAAGACGTTAAACGTTGTAGAATTTGATTTTTACGGAAGTGGTTTCGCAATTGAAATTTTCCATTGCTTAGGAAAATGGTTGATCTCCAAGCAATCATTAATAATATGTGTTATATATTTATTCCCACATGTAGTGCAAATTTTAAGCAGTAATGGGGAGATTTCATCCACACCCGTTGCGTTTGTTTTAATGTTATTGTAAATTTCATGCACTTGAGAAACTGTTGCCAGATTAAATGAAGAATAAATTGAATCATAAAATACATTATTTTGTAAAACTGAAAAGAACTATTTTTAATCGAGCAATTTTTGAAAGCGTTAAGAAACCGTACTAATATAATTCTGTTTTTTCTTTGTTAGGACCGAAAAAACAAAATTACATAAGCGTTTAAAATTGTCCCAATCACTTATATTTTGTTCTTTTAGATTTGTGTTACCCACTATCCGGTTGTTCCATAAAGATTTTTAAATTATTATTAAGCCAGGGCTCTTTAGGTTTTGTAATTCGCTTATATTATTGCGATTATGCTATTTTTTGAGATTAAGTTCACAGTATGAGTGTCACTTGAAAAGTTTCCGACCTAACAACGATACAAGACATTTTTTCTCAATTTTTTTACATACATAGTTTCCTTATAACTCTATACACTTCAGCGATCTCTTTAACCCATCCAAATTTTACCCAGTGCTTTCCCCCTAAATTAATTGTTCACGAAGGTGATTGCCTCCTTATTTCACAAAAATCTTTGTCGTCCAAGCGCAGTTTTCAGATGAGGGAACAAAAATAAGTCGTTTGGTCGTTTGGTCAAGCATAGTATGCTCCTGCAATGGTTTTCCTTTTTGACGTTGATCAATTAAGATGATGAATAGTCGCCATCACTTTCCCACTCGGGAAAACAATTTTTGTTTTTTTTTGAAGTCGGTTCTCTCTATGCAGTACACTGTTTTGACTGTATTTTTGATTCAGGTTTATAATGGTATATTCACTTTTCATCTACAGTAACGAATCGGCGCTAAAACTCAAACTTATAACGCCTATACTGCTCTAATAGAGCGTTGGAAATGTTCAACGGAACACGTTTCTGGTCTAACGTGAGTAAACACGGCAGCCAGCTCGTGGACAACTTTCTTCGGACATTTTCATAACCTCTGTTAAATCTCTCACTTTAATTCGACAGTCGTCTAACACCATTTGATGAACTTTAGTAACATTATCGTCGGTGGTTAT